ATCCTCAAGACAGAGAGAAGCTCATTCAAAGGTCATAGTGAGACAGACACATGGCAATGTGCCCAGAAACCAGCAGTGGTACAAACCAAACATTCCAAGAATGGGCAAGTGGTAGGCCAAGGTCAGATCATCCCTAACCATGAAGATCAATTTTTGGAATGTATTTATTTTAATGTTTTGAGATGGAGTCTTGCCAGGCTGGAGTGTACTGGCGCTATCTGGGCCCACTGTAACCTCTGCCTCCCAGGTTTAAGTGATCCTCCTGCCTCCGCTTCCCAAGTAGCTGGGGCTATAGGTGTGCACCACCACACCAGGATGGTCTTGATCTCTTGACCTCGTAATCCCCCTGCCTTGGCCTCCCAAGTGCTGGGATTATAGATGTGAGCTACTGTGCCCATCCTGAATTTTTTTTTTTTTTTTAATGCATTGGATGATGTTTCATTAGAAACAAATAGTAAGAAGAAACAAGGACGTTTAAGTAGAGACACTGTGCAGTCTGATTTCTATGCAGAACAAGAAGAAAATTGCTTGGAGAAGAGACCCTACACAGAACACCTGGGTTTGAGGTGACGACAGTCATTGTGTGAGACACAGACAGACCAAAAAGATATCTGGGTGTAGAACACAAAAGATTCAGTAAGAGATTCAATTTGAAAGTCATGGAGAAGTATTTAGATCAGTGGTTCGTTCTCAAGGTGGGGTGGGACCTAGGACCCTTGTTTAAAATGGACATTCCTGGGCCCATGCTCAGAGGTTCCAATTTTGTAGCTCTAGGGTATAAAGATGCTGGAACCTGAATTTTTAATAAGCAGCTCTGGTAATTCTGATACTGATGGACCTCCTACTACACTTGAGAAAGCACTAATTTAAAGGACTCCCAAACTTCTGGCTTATACAAGAGAGTGGTCAGGACTGGAATGGAGGCACCATTTACAGAAAATGTGAATGATGACAGCCAAGAAAGCTTGTGAGTATAAGCCATGAATTCAGGAGCCTCTGCTCCTCATAGACCCCTGGGGACAGACAGACAAAGAGGCTGACTGCCTTTAATGTTTGGACTATTTCTATAGGGCTGCCCAAGTGGCCTTTCTGGTAGAAGTAGTCCGTCAGCTAAGTGTAATGTCTGCCTCAAAAATTGATTCCATTTAGAATGCTGAGAGGTAGTTACTTCCAAGCACATGTTTGCCTTGACTCAGATACTGGCTACCTGTGGCAGTACCACCTACTCCTTCCTCCTAGATCACTAGGCATCAGCCAAGCTGGCCTGTTACCACTCTGATACCAACTTGGCTTGCCCCGTCACCATATTCAGTTCTAAATATCTAAACTATCTAAAATAGTGTATGCATGCCCTTTTTAAAAGATTAATAGGCTGGGCGCGGTGGCTCATGCCTATAATCCCAGCACTTTGGGAGGCCAAGGTGGGCAGGTCACCTGAGGTCAGGAGTTCCAGATCAGCCTGATCAACATGGAGAAACCCTGGCTCTACTAAAAATACAAAATTAGCTACGCATGGTGGCGCATGCCTGTAATCCCAGCTACTTCAGGAGGCTGAAGAAGGAGAATCGCTCAAACCCAGGAGGCTGAGGAAGGAGAATCACTTGAACTCAGGAGGCAGAGGTTGCAGTGAGCCAAGATCATGCCATTGCACTCCAGCCTGGGCAGTAAGAGCAAAACTCTGTCTGAAATAAAATAAAATAAAATAAAGATTAACAGCTGGGTGCTGTGGCTCATGCCTGTAATCCCAGCACTTCGGGAGGCCGAGGCAGGCAGATCACCTATGGTCAGGAGTTCAAGACCAGCCTGGCCAACATGGTGAAACCCCATCTCTATTAAAAATACAAAAATTAGCTGGGCTGTGATGGCTCATGCCTGTAATCCCAGCTACTCAGGAGGCTGAGGCAGAAGAATCGCTTGAACCCAGGAGGCAGAGGTTGCAGTGAGTTGAGATGGTGCCACTGCACTCCAGCCTGGGTGACAGAGTGAGACTCTGTCCCCAAAAAAAAAAAATTAATAGATTTATTTATTTATTTATTTATTTATTTATTTATTTGAGACGGAGTTTCGCTCTTGTTGCCCAGGCTGGATTGCAATGGTGCGATCTCGGCTCACCGCAACCTCCACCTCCTGGGTTCAGGCAATTCTCCTGCCTCAGCCTCCTGAGTAGCTGGGATTACAGGCACGCACCACCATGCCCAGCTATTTTTTTTTTTTTTTTTTTTGTATTTTTAGTAGAGACAGGGTTTCACCATGTTGACCAGGATGGTCTCGATCTCTTGACCTCGTGATCCACCCGCCTCGGCCTCCCAAAGTGCTGGGATTACAGGTTTGAGCCACCGCGCCTGGCCTAGACTTTATTTTTTAGAGCAGTTTTAGGTTCACAGCAAAACTAAGTGGAAGAACAGAGACTCCTCAGATCCCTTTCTTTGCTGAGTACTTCCTTTTTCTGGTACTGTACAATGCTCCAGGCCTATCTACTACTTTCCTTGCTCCAGTCCTCCTGGAATCAGCCATTTCTTCAAGGAGCAGCCTTGGTTCCTTTTATTGGAAAATGATATTAGAAACCAAGATCTGGGTTCGGTGTTTGCTGCTGCGTAGAGTGCCCCTGCTTGTAGGCCCTCTTAGCCAACAGAAGAAGGAGGTCTATGTGTGTACTATGTATATATAACATATCTACATTTCCCTTTTAACCAGCTGTATCTATATTAAGCTAAATATGAGTTCATACTGATGTCTTCAACTTTAATCCATTATCACATGGATCACTGTCACCACCTTGCTTCCCTTATTTATTTGTAACTCCCACTTCAACAGTAAGACACCTGTCTCTCACCATCTGCCATACAATAACTTAATTGTTCCATTCCAGTCCCCACGTACATCAGTGCCTGAACTGCTGACCTGTACCCCCATGCCTCATTCAATTTCATCCCGTTACCTTGCTTTATTCTCTTCTTTCACATTATACATTGTTTATATTCTGCATTTTATGCTTATTTAAGTTTATTTTCTGTTTTCCTTCTCTATAGCAACAGACTTTCACTGCTGAGTCCCTAGCACCTAAAATTTGCACAAAGTAGGTGCCCAATAAAGTGAAACAAATGAACAGAAAATTGTAATGCTTATTATGTTAATAGTAAGTGGGTCTCAGGAGGTCCTTTTCTAGCCAGTCCTATGTCATTCAGCTTTGAGATACTGAATCTATTTCAATCAAATTGTAATCATAGCATATAATTTAAACTTTTCATCAATTCAACTCCTTATCGCCCCAAATGCTATAATTATAACCGTTGAACTAAACAGTGAACTATTACAAACTCACATCCCCTATTTTTTCCTTTAAGTCCTGACTCTAACCACCCCCTCCCCCCATTCCCATCCCTTGCCCCCTATCTCCTAGACAGACACTGCCAACCAGTTTAAATTTTCTAGAAATTTTTGATTATGTCTGCTCTAGTTATTTATTCATAATTTTTCTCACTTGATAAAAACATGGATAACATAATCAATATCATAAATTCAAATCACAGAGTTAATAAAAGTTATATAAACATTAGGCTGTTGATTTTAAGTTAATCTTCCAAAAGGACCCTGAAGGCATATAAAGCAATTTTTGAAAAAAGTACACAGATTTGCTCTCTCTTCCTTAGTGGAAGCCTGAGTTTTAAGAACACAGATGCTAACAGAAAACATATGGAAAAGATCAGTAACAAGATGGAATCTTGGCTCAAATGTGGTCTGCCACGTTTTACATACCAATGTCTCAAATAATAGACTGGATTTTTACAACTGCCAAAGCATCACTTGAAACACTGTATACTTTTCTTAAATGCAGAGTTTAACAAAATAAATCTTGTGAGTTCTTTGTAAAAAGCTAGTGGAAAACACTTTTTTGAGGAAACAAAAATGAATTCCAGGATTCACTTTATCTTATTAGTTTGTAAAAGCTTAAAAGAATTCCCCCCAAAATGAACTCCAAGTCCACTGCCAAAAGACACAGTCAACTCTCTGTTTAGAATATGAAAACAGAGTAAAAATTAAACATTGAAAACAGTTAACTGTTACTATTCAGGAGAGAGAGCTCTATGAAATGAAGAAATTTTCTAAATTTACAAAATAAAGGCAATAGCTATTAAGAACACAAGCTTTTGATTCCATTTTATTCAATATTACAAAAATGATTACTTTGTACAATATTAAAAACAGGCAAATTGGAGATACACTTTTGGAGAGCAACCAATTGATTAATTTTTATCTCAAAGGATATTAGAAGTCATTCTAATGGGTGCATTTGCAAGCAAGAGGAGAAAAGAGATAGCTTATAAAAAGGAAGGTGTAAGCCTTTGTACAGAAAAGTCATATATTTAATCTGTGTAACCAATGATAATGGAGTGCATTTTAAAAATAAACTAAAGGTGAACTGTTACATGTTTCTAATCCTGATTCCTTATTTTAACAAAGAGAAGTATTGATATGAACCTTGGTGTTGAACAACCAAGGGACTCAAGAAATTTTGAGTTCCAGGCTGGGTGCGCTGGCTCATGCCTGTAATTCCAGCACTTTGGGAGGCTGAGGCAAGAGGATCATCTGAAGTCAGGAGTTTGAGACCAGCCTGGCCAACATGGCGAAACACTGTCTCCACTAAAAATACAAAAAATTAATGAGGTATGGTGGCTCATGCCTGTAATCCTAGCTACTGGGAAGGCTGAAGCAGAAGAATTGCTTGAACATGGGAGGTGGAGGTTGTGGTGAGCCAAGATCAAGCCGCTGTACTTCAGCCTGGGTGACAGAGAGACTCTGTCTTAAAAAAAAAAAAAAAAAAAAAAAGAAATTTTGAGTTCCACTTTAAGTTGCTGAAACACTGGAGTTCCCTTGTCACAGTGGACCTTAATTTGAAGAATTCTTTGGCATGAAAATGAAAATAAAAACAGTAATCAGTACATGCTGTTTCATTTAGTTTTGTTTGCCTTTCATATTAGAGGAAATTCTTGCCACACCCCAAACCAAAATTAAGGGGAAAAGAAAGAAGTAAGCCACAAAAATGTGACCAAGAACACAAGCATCTTAATTTGAATCCACAAAGTTTCATGTAATGAAAAGAAATACATAATTTTAATTCAACCCAAGTGTTTTCCAAGAAGATTGTATTTGCTTAAATTGCTACAGTAATTCAAGAGACAGCCCTGTCTGGACACAGAGTTACTGTGGATTTTTAAGAGACTCAGTTAAAGAATTTAGGAATTTCTGATTCATTTAAAGGATTTACAAATTCATCAACCCCTGAAAACTAAAGCAAATTCAACAGGTATGATGATAAAATAATTTTCATTTTTTAAAGAATGTATTCCTACTGTTAAAATTGAAAACGTATACTGGATTTGTTTAATATTAAAATAGACTGCATTTATTATAAAAGCACAATTTTTGGAAGCAAAAACTGGTAAAAAAAGTTACATTAAACTTTTGATTAGGCAAAATGTTCAAGTAAAGAAATTGTATAATGAGTTTAACTCTTTCTCATTTAAGATTTACCCAATAAACAATCTTTGTTTAGATTTTTATTTTAACTTTGAATGAAAGGAGAGTTCCTCAGGTTAAAGGAATAAATCTCTTTCTCTTTCTTAGGTCTCTTTTTCTCTCTGCATTTTAAGTAACAAAGAACCAGTTAATGCTTTTGAGGCAGACATCTGAGCAATGCTAGTGATTCCAGTTGGGGGACTGATGGGCATTTGTACAAATTTCACTCAAATTTTTCTCCAAATTTCACTACTGACTAAATCCCTGATATAGAATGTTTTTCTTTTCATTTATCTCTTTCTCAAAGGGAAGATACAAATGCTCTAGCCAGTCTATTGAAGGATCTAGTTACTTTGGGTTTTAGTTAATTAAGATTTAAATGTATTGTGGCTAAAAATAATTGAGGCAATTGTATTTTTAATAGCAAAAGAATTTTACAAATTAAAATTGAGAACTTTTTTGGAAAAATCAGAATTATATGCTAATATTTGGTTTCTTATATGCTAATTTCTATGGCATACCCATAAAAACAATTATGTCTTTAATGTATATTATGAATCTTTTACTTTAAACTTTTCCTGAACAAGTAAATTATACCTCATTTTTATTAATAATTTCAATTAAAACTTTTCTTGATGAATGCATAAGTACTTTTCTCCAAGTAAGAGAAATGTTATGACACAGATGCTTGTATTGCTATAATATAAAAAATTCACATTGAAAACTGGTAATATATATATTTTACTTTGCTCCAAACATTCTTTTTCACATCTGTTATTTTCCTACCACACAAAATACTAGGAAAGTGAGGAATGCAGTATATTGTGATGGAGAAATATTCAATAGAAAAAGGAACAGTCAAGCTCTCATGATTATGTTCATTTGAAGAAATCACCATGGTAAAATAAATGTCTAGAAATAATCAACATTAGTAGAGAGCAGTATTGCTAGCGAGACTTAACCTGTAATTTATTAACTTAGTCATTCATTCAACAAATCTTTGAGAATTTATAACACTGCATTGTATTACATTCTATAAAACATTAGATATCAGGAAATTAGATGATTGACAATGAATTATTCAATATTGCTGTGAGTTATTCTATACAGAACAAGGCATAGATTGTAGAGTATGAAAAGTAGAGGTAACAAAAATATGCTTAGCAAATAACTGAGAAGAGATTAATTAGTTGGGGAATGAAAAATGTGGATAAAATAAAATAAGATTGTTGTAACAGGAAATTATCATGGGGAAAGAGCAAGAGGCATAGAAAATAATGGGCATATAGATGAAAACAGAAAGAATTTCAGATGAGAACGCTGCACTTAGTCAAAGGGAGTAGGACAAGATTGTACAACATGGTTAGGAATGTGGAGGGAGGAGGACAAGGATGTTTAAGGTAAGTTCAGGTTTAGAAGAGAAATTGTTCTTCAGGGAAAGACTTTCTTCTTGGGTGCTCACAAAGACTAAAAGCAGACAAAATTAAGAACGTCTTTATTTTCAGAGACGCCCCAGTCACGATATCTTGATTCTAGGCCTTCTTTTTTCTGAACAATTTTACATACCTGTTGAACAACAGAGTCTAATTGTCAAATGTAGGGTTGCTAACTGATGATTGCTAATGTTGTCAACACAAGGATAAAATTCAACCTGAGTTTTTGGTCAGGCATGGTGGCTTATACCTGTAATCTCAGCACTTTGGGAGGCTGAGGTGGGTGGATCACCTGAGGTCAGGAGTTTGAGACAAGCCTGGCCAACATGGCAAAACCCAGTCTCTACTAAAAATACAAAAACAGCCAGTCACAGTGGCCTCACACCTGTAATCTCAGCACTTTGGGAGGCTGAGGTGGGCGGATCACCTGAGGTCAGGAGTTGGAAACCAGCCTGGCCAACATTGTGAAACCCCATCTCTACTAAAAATACAAAAAAATTTAGCCAGTCACGGTGGTACATGTCTGTTATCCTAGCTACTCAGGAGGGTGAGGCACAAGAATCACTTGAGCCTGGGAGGTAGAGGTTGCAGTGATCCAAGATCATGCCACTCAACTCCAGCCTGGGTGACAGAGCAAGACTCCGTTTCAAAAAAAAAAAAAAAAAAGGCTAGGCCCTTCAGATCTGGATTTTTTTTTTTTTTTAAGATGGAGTCTCAGCTCTGTGGCCCAGGCTGGAATGCAGTGGCATCATCTTGGCTCACTGCAACCTCTGCCCCCTGGGTTCAAGCGATTCTCCTGCCCCAGCCTCCCAAGCAGCTGGGATTATAGGCTTGTGCCACCACGCCCAGTTAATTTTTGTATTTTTAGTACAGACGAGGTTTCACCATCTTGACCAGGCTGGTCATGGACTCCTGACCTTGTAATCCACCTACCTCGGCCTCCCAAAGTGCTGGGATTACAGGCATGAGCCACTGCACCTGGCCTTCAGAGCTGGATTTAATAGTCTTATTTTGCTTCTTCAATAGTTAACCAACTACATTTCCCAAACACATAACTGTCTGTTGCTCCTATGTTTTTGCTTATCTCTTGTATCTGGAGATTTTCTTCCTCACCTCTCTCTGTGAGAACCTTAACATTCCTTCAAAGTGTAGGTCAAATGCCACATCTTCCATGGATCTCACAGAAAGAAAGAAAAATGGAGGTAATATATTTAGAGTTGCACAAAGAAACATCATGAGTTTCAAAAACACATACTGTTGAAAAAACAAAAAAAATGACCAAACCATGGCTATTTTGGCATTTTCTTGTAGGTAGGGATAAATAAAAGAAAATAGTGCCGGGCACTGTGGCTCAAGTCTATAATCCTAGCAGTTTGGGAGGCCGAGGTGGGTGGATCACCTGAGGTAAGGAGTTAGAGACCAGCCTGGCCAACATGGCGAAACTCCGTCTCTAATAAACATACAAAAATTAGCTGGGTGTGGTGACTCATACCTGTAATCCCAGCTACTCAGGAGGCTGAGGCAGGAGAATCACTTGAACCCCAGAGGCAGAGGTTGCAGTGAGCTGAGATCACGCCATTGCACTTCAGCCTGAGTGACAGAAGGAGACTCCATCTTAAGAAAAAAAGAAAGAAAGAAAGAAAGAAAATAGATTGAGCCAGGTGCAGTGGCTCACATTGGGAGGCCGAGGTGGGCAGATCAGGAGTTCAAGATCAGCCTGGCCAACATGGTAAAACCCCATCTTTACTAAAAATACAAAAAAGATAAGCCGGGCTCAGTGGCAGGCACCTATAATCCGAGCTACTCGGGAGGCTGAGGCAGGAGAATTGCTTGAACTCGGGAGGCGGAGACTGCAGTGAGCCAAAGATCATACCACTGCATTCCAGCCTGGGTGACAATGAGACTCTGTCCTGGGGGATAAAAAACCACACACACACACACACACACACACACACACACACACACACACACGAAAATAAAAGAAAATAGATTGAAATAAATGATATCTTGATCCTATTTTCTTGACCTAGAAGCAAGGGAATGAGGTATTAGAGGCTTGAGAGAGGAAAAGTATAAAACAGGAGAGTAGGAGAGAGGGAAAGAGGATGGTCTAAGGAAATGCAGCAGTACAGCACTTGAGGTTAGTGGTCTTGAATCGAGAGTGAGATCAGTCACCATGGTCCTGTTTTTCTTTAGTTACATTCAGCTGTGTTAGGCTGTGAGTAAGTGGAGAACTGGAGTAACCAGAATTGAAGTTTGGTGGATTGAAGAAACCAGAAAGTTTGGGGCCTATGAAAAAGAACAACGATAATAATGAGCTATGGGGTCTAAGTTGGTAAGAAGGAACTGACAATGTTGGGAGTATGGATGAAGGGCAGTGAAAAATTGTAGAATCAATACAGCTTAGGTTCCACTGAAACTGAAGAATTATTGCAGCCGGAGTTACTACATGGAGAGAATGGTCAGAGTGTGGAATACTCAAAATGAAGAGTATGAAAGGTTCCAGTAATAACAATGACAAGACCCAGGATGCTGGTGCATGGGAGCAAATGGTGAGGAAGCATGAAGGAAAGTATCGTTGCAGGGAAAGAGCTCAAGGGTCTCTGACGCTACTTGAATAACTACTTCAAATCCCAAATACACATAAAACTTACATTTATACATTTATGATTTCTGACAAAAAAAGAAGAAGAAACTTTTTTAAAATCTTTCTCAAATGGGGTTCTGTCAAAGAAAATAACTTAAGTAACTATTTTCTCAATTATACCAATGACGAAAAATAGCTAGAACCATTCTAGATGAATAGGAGATAAGTCATTTCATTATATGCAACAATTTGTTAGGAAACTCATTCTTTCATGAAACCCTGGATGGGAAAAGTAGACAGAAAGGTCTCAGAATAAAAGAGGTAGGATTTTTAATAATCTTTTTCCTAAATGATACATTCATTTCATCTGGAGAGAGTTTTCAATTTGCAAAGTACTTTTACATGCATAGCTCATACAATGCTAACAATGACCAGGTGGCATAAGCAGGCAAAATATAAGACACAAGGACGCTGGGTACAGTGACTCACACCTGTAATCCCAGCACTTTGGGAGGCCAAGGTGGGTGGGTCATGAGGTCAGGAGTTCGAGACCAGCCTGGCCAACATGGTAAAACCCAGTCTTTACTAAAAATTCAAAAATTAGCTGGGTGTGGTGGACTGCGCCTGCAATCCCAGCTACTGGGGAGGCTGAGGCAGGAGAATTACTTGAATCCGGGAAGCAGAGGTTGCAGTGAGCTGACACTGCACCACTGCAGTCCACTCTGGGTGACAGAGTAAGACTCTTTCTCAAAAAAAAAAAAAAAAAAAAAAAAAGAAGGCCAGGCACAGTGGCTCACACCTGTAATCACAGCACTTTGAGAGGCCAAGGTGAGCGTGTCACCTGAGGTTGGGAGTTCAAGACCAGTCTGACCAACATGGAGAAGGTTGTGGTAAGCCTTAAACCCAAGAGGAGGTGGTTACATTGAGCCTTGAACCTGAGAGGGAGAGGTTGAGGTGAGCCAGGACTGCGCCATTGCACTCCAGCTTGAGCAACAAAAGCAAAACTCGGTCTCAAAAAAAAAAAAAAAAAAAAGCCACAAGCAACAGCTGCCAAGGTATAATTCAGCTATAACTGCAATTCTTATTTTACTGATGAGGCTAGAGACAGATATGGTAAGTGACAGAAATGAAATGTAGGCTTCAGGCGTCTCATCCGGGACATGATTGACCTTTCCCTAGAACTTCAAGTTTCAGCACCAAAGAGTATTCACTGTGAAGCGTACACCCTTGCAATCCTGCTCCATACAATATCCTCCTCCTGCATTCTACGGCATGTGTATCTGATCCTCCACTAGACTTTAAAATCCTGAGAGACAGGGACAGTGTGTTTTTAGTAATATTTGTATACCTAGAACATAACTCTAATATATTAATGGAAAAAAGAAAGCTAGAAAGAAAAATGTAGACAACTGAACTTTGTACAATGTAAACATTGTATGTTTTTAGGATATAAAGTAGTTATTCAAGCATATAAAGTAGTTATTCAAGCAGACTCAGAGACTAAATAGTTGGATTCTGGAAACTGTTTCATGAGGAAAATTAGATGGTACAGTTAGAATTGGACAGAAAATATTAAAAGGAAACATGAATACAATTTATATATATCTGAAGATAATCGAATACAAGGAAGCCTTTCATGTTCTTCTGAAGGGCATAAAAGGGTATCAGCAAACAGAAGCTGTAGAATCTCCTCGGCAAAAGCTCTCTAACTGAAATAAAGGTCTCTCCTCCCACAGATAGTGACAATCATTAAAGGATCAGGTAATTCCAAGGAACACCCAGCATTTATAGTGGAGGGATCAGACTGTAGTTGAGTGATGTCATGCTGTCATCATAGATCTATACTCTAGTAAGCAAGATAAACTGGGATTCTCTTAAAAGATAGTTATTTAAGGTCAGGCGTGGTGGCTCATGCCTGTAATCCCAGCACATTGGGAGGATGAAGTGGATGGACCGCCTGAGGTCAGGATCAAGACCAGCCTGGCCAGTATGGTAAAACCCCATCTCTACTAAAAACACACAAAAAAATTAGCCGGGTATGATGGCACATGCCTGTTATCTCAGCTACTTGGGAGGCTGACTCAGGAGAATTGCTTGAACCCAGGAGGCGAAAGTTGCAGTGAGCCGAGATTGTGCCATTGCACTCCAGCCTGGGCAACAACAGCGAAACTCCATCTCAAAAAAAAAAAAAAAAAAAAGATGGTTACTCAGTAGAAAGTCTACTAAACCACTTTTGACTCTAGTTCAGTGTAATACGTGACTTAAAAAAAAATCTCAGCTGGGCATGGTAGCTCATGCCTGTAATTCCAGCACTTCTGGAGGCCAAGACGGGAGGATCACCTGAGGTCAGGAGTTCAAGACCAGCCTGGCCAGCATGACAAAACCCTGTCTCTACCAAAAATACAAAAATTAGCTGGGCGTGGTGTCATGCACCTGTAGTTCCAGCTATTCAGGAAGCTGAGGCAGGAGAACTGCTTGAACTCAGGAGGAAGAGGTTGCAGTGAGCTGAGATCACACCACTCCACTCCAGCCTGGGTGACAACAAGACTGTCTCAAAAAAAAAAAAAAAAAAAAAAATACATATATATATATATATATATATATATATAATCTCATCTCATTGGTACTTAAACATTTAATTTAATTTTGGTTTGAGGTCGGGCTCGGTGGCTCACGCGTGTAATCCCAGCACTTTGGGAGGCTGAGGTGAGTAGATGCCTTGAGGTCAGGAGTTTGAGACCAGCCTGGGAAACATAGTGAAACCCTGTCTCTACTAAAAAATACAAAACTAAGTCAGGTGTGTGGGCATGGGCCTGTAGTCCCAGCTACTCAGGAGGCTGAGGCATGAGAATCGCTTGAACCCGTGAGGCAGAAGTTGCAGTGAGTTGGGATTGTGCCGCTGCACTCCAATCTGGGTAACAGAAAAGACTGTCACAAAAAAAGGAAAAAAAAATAGTTTGAGCACTTCCCATTCTTTCTGGATATTCTTTTTTTTTTTTTTTTTGAGATGGAGTTTCACTCTTGTTACCCAGGCTGGAGTGCAATGGCGCAATCTCGGCTCACCGCAACCTCCGCCTCCTGGGTTCAGGCAATTCTCCTGCCTCAGCCTCCTGAGTAGCTGGGATTACAGGCATGCACCACCATGCCCAGCTAATTTTTGTATTTTTAGTAGAGACGGGGTTTCACCATGTTGACCAGGATGGTCTCGATCTCTTGACCTCGTGATCCACCCGCCTCAGCCCCCCAAAGTGCTGGGATTACAGGCTTGAGCCACCATGCCCGGCCTGTATATTCTTTTATATACAGACATAGGTAGCTGTCAATTTATACAAAGCGTATTCTGAGTTAACACACTATTCTCCACAATGTTTCCTTTTCTCCTTGCAATAGGACAAAAAAAAGAAGATGATGATGATGATGATGATGAACTTCTTAAGTCCAATATATATTCTTTTCTTCATTTTTGGAGTCAAAGTGCATTGCCAATATGAAACTTATCAGTGGGATGAAGACTATGACCAAGAGCCAGATGATGATTACCAAACAGGATTCCCATTTCGTCAAAATGTAGAATATGGAGTTCCTTTTCATGGATATACTTTAGGCTGTGTCAGTGAATGCTTCTGTCCAACTAACTTTCCATCATCAATGTACTGTGATAATCGCAAACTCAAGACTATCCCAAATATTCCAATGCACATTCAGCAACTCTACCTTCAGTTCAATGAAATTGAAGCTGTGACTGCAAATTCATTCATCAATGCAACTCATCTTAAAGAAATTAACCTCAGCCACAACAAAATTAAATCTCAAAAGATTGATTATGGTGTGTTTGCTAAGCTTCCAAATCTACTACAACTTCATCTAGAGCATAACAATTTAGAAGAATTTCCATTTCCCCTTCCTAAATCTCTGGAAAGACTCCTTCTTGGTTACAATGAAATCTCCAAACTGCAGGCAAATGCCATGGATGGGCTAGTAAACTTGACCATGCTTGATCTCTGCTATAATCACCTTCATGATTCTGTGCTAAAAGACAAAATCTTTGCCAAAATGGAAAAACTAATGCAGCTCAACCTCTGCAATAACAGATTAGAATCAATGCCTCCTGGTTTGCCTTCTTCACTTATGTATCTGTCTTTAGAAAATAATTCAATTTCTTCTATATCTGAAAAATACTTCGACAAACTTCCAAAACTTCATGCTCTAAGAATGTCACACAACAAACTACAAGACATCCCATATAATATTTTTAATCTTCCCAATCTTGTAGAACTCAGTGTTGGACACAACAAATTGAAGCAAGCATTTTATATTCCAAGAAATTTGGAACACCTATATCTACAAAATAATGAAATAGAAAGTATGTAGACTTTTATTGTGTTTTAAGGAGAGAAAGAATGGAATTCTGACCTTTTAAGGAAAAAAATCTTTAATAAGCTATGCTTTAGACATTGCTGAAAATGGTTGTTCTAAAGTTGGCTAAGGGAATGGCAGAAATTTGCAAAGGTGTGCTATTCAGTTTATAGTCCTTCCTATTAAATTTAATTGTCTTAAATGTTGAGACAAAGGCTGGGCGCAATGCCTGTAATCAGAGTACTTTGGGAGGCTGAGGTGCATGGATCACTTGAAGCCAGGAGCTCACGACCCACCTGGTCAATATGGTGAACTCCCATCTCTACTAAAAATACAAAAATTAGCCAGGCATGGTGGTGTACGCCTGTACTCCCAGCTACTTGGGAGGCTGAGACATGAGAACTGATTGAACCCAAAAGTCAGAGGTTGCAGTGAGCTGAGATCGTGCCACTGCATTCCAGCCTGGGTGGCAGAGCAAAATTCTGTCTAATAAATAAATAAATAAATAAATAATACATATATACAAACATATTTATATATATATATAGAGAGAGAACAGACTATATCAAGAAATATGAATATCCTAAGCAGTGGGATTGTAGACAATTTTTTTCAGATTGTTACAAAATTATTAATCAGAAAAAATGAAGTATATATATTTTGGTAATATAAAACTCATTTATAATTTAACTTTCTTCATTTTATTATTTAACATAAAAAAACTAAACCTACCTCAATTTGTAAGTATTTTAATTAACAGAATTATATCCCATACAACATAAAATCCAACATAGAATTATGGCTATAATTATGGATTATACTATAATGCAGGATTAATTTTTAATTTATTTCTTTCAGAGATGAATCTTACAGTGATGTGTCCTTCTATTGACCCACTACATCACCACCATTTAACATACATTCGTGTGGACCAAAATAAACTAAAAGAACCAATAAGCTCATACATCTTCTTCTGCTTCCCTAATATACACACTATTTATTATGGTGAACAAAGAAGCACTAATGGTCAAACAATACAACTGAAGACACAAGTTTTCAGGAGATTTCAAGATGAGGATGATGATAGTGAAGATCACGATGATCCTGACCATGCTCATGAGGGCCCAGAACAAGAAGGAGCAGAAGGGCACTTTTACCCTCATTATTATTAAATACAAGAATGGCAAGAAACTATATAGGTATACAATTATGACTTCACAAAACTTATACTTAATATAGTAAATCTAAGTAAACATGTATTACTCAAAGTAATATATTTAGAATTACATATTAGCATAAGGTGAGAATGAAATTTAAGTTGTTGGTGACATCTGCATCATTTTATAGGATTAGAACTTACTCAAAATAATGCATATCTTTAAAAATATAAATTAGAATGACAATTGGGAATCACAAACTAAACGTTTCTTATGCTCTTTATAAATATAGAAATATAATGTTTTAAAAAGTGAGTGTATCATTTCTATTAACAGTAACTTTTCTAAAAATGAGGAAGGAAGTAGCATTAGCAGTAAAGACCCAGAAGCCATGACCTTTTTGATCACTCTAAGGATGATATTTAAATGACAGGAAGGCATATTAATGTAACAAGCATTTATTTAAAGAATAGCTCATTTTCTTTGACCGCTTCAGAAAAGCTCTCATGCTGGTATTTGTGATCTCATCATTATGACATCCATCCCCCTAGTTCAGGTAGTGCATAAAATAATATTTGTAAGAGGCCATCCTACTAAGGACCTAAGGCATACATCCTACTAAGGACCCAAGGCATACAGATTCACAAAATGAACTAATCTTTTTTCCCCAGAGTACCAAAACAACAAAATTATAAATGCTGTATTTGGAGAACTAAAAAACACCAAACTCTCTCATTGCAATTTGTATGTTAGCAAATTTCAGTAACTGTCCAAAACGATGTTATTGTGTTCCATTTTAACTGGGATAAACGTTTTTGTAATAAATACAACCACAGAAAGGTTTCTTTGTTACAAAATGATTTGCAAAGAAATAACTGCTTTGTTCACAACGCTAAGTTAAAGTTGGCAAAATAAAGTTCTTTTTTTTTTTTTTTTTGAGATGGAATTTCGCTCTTGTTACCCAGGCTGGAGTGCAATGGCGCAATCTCGGCTCACCGCAACCTCCGCCTCCTGGGTTCAGGCAATTCTCCTGCCTCAGCCTCCCGAGTAGCTGGGATTACAGGCACACCCCACCATGCCCAGCTAATTTTTTGTAGTTTTAGTAGAGACAGAGTTTCACCATGTTGACCAGGATGGTCTTGATCTCTTGACCTCGTGATCCACCCGTCTCGGCCTCCCAAAGTGCTGGGATTACAGGCTTGAGCCACCGCGCCCGGTGGCAAAATAAAGTTCTAATGATATTACTAAACACTTGGCTAGGTGCTGGTGGCTCACGCCTGTAATTCTAGCACTTTGGGAGGCTGAGACAGGCAGATCATGAGGTCAGGAGTTTGAGACCAGCCTGGCCAATATGGTAAAACCCCGCCCCTACTAAAAATACAAAAAAGAGCCAAGTGTGGTGGCATGTGCCTGTAGTCCCAGCTACTCAGGAGGCTGATGCAGGAGAATCGCTTGAACCTGGGAGGCAGAGGCTGCAGTGAACCAAGATGCACCACTGACTCCAGCCTGGGCGACACAGCGATACTCCATCTCAAAAAAGAAAAAACAACAACAAAAAAATTTATGCTTATCATCCAATATCTACATAAGCTAAAATTGAATACAGTTCCTTTAAAATTTGAATGACCAGATGACAGGTTTCAACATCTTCTTTAAAACCTTAAAAATCACTTTTTCATTAATGTATCATGTTTAAGTATTTTAAGTATGCCTTACAATGAAGATTATCTAACTGCTGTGATGAACACTCTTGACATACCATGCTAATGTTTCATAGAATTCTTCAGATAAGGGACAAATACCAATCTGGGGCTCCTTATATAAGGGACCCCAAAACAAATGATAACAATTCTGACAATACTCAACAGACAAGTCAAACTATATTTCAGAAGTAGTTTTCCAGCTTGCAAGTCTTTTTTTTCCCTGGAAGTATCAGTTTAAATGAAGTCTTTAATGCTCTTTATATCTTTGAGGAGATTATCAGCATTATCAGAACCAGAACACTCACCTGTTCCCAGGGACAACCTCAAGAATACAGGATGAATATAAACAAAACTCCATTCGTTCACCTAATCAACGTTCATCAAGTCCTTTCTTATATAGGGCTTGACAGTAAGGGATCAATAAACAAAGTACAATGTGCAACTATGATGCCATGATATGGGCAAAGCACACTTTCAACAGAGTTAAAACAAAAAATCTTAAGGCTCACCTCCCTTTTCTTGCAATTTTTTTTTATTTTTTTATTTTTTTGAGACGGAGTTTCACTCTTGTTACCCAGGCTGGAGTGCAATGGCGCGATCTCGGCTCACTGCAACCTCCGCCTCCTGGGTTCAGGCAATTCTCCTGCCTCAGCCTCCCAAGTAGCTGGGATTACAGGCACGCACCACCATGCCTGGCTAATTTTTTGTATTTTTAGTAGAGACGGGGTTTCACCATGTTGACCAGGATGGTCTCGATCTCTTGACCTCGTGATCCACCCGCCTCAGCCTCCCAAAGTGCTGGGATTACAGGCGTGAGCCACCATGCCCGGTCTTTTCTTGCAATTTTTAAAAACAGGGTATAAATTCAAACACTATAAGTTAATATGTGGAAAATACTATGGGTGTTTTAGAAAATAACAAAGATAAGACAAATTTCCTTTTTTTTTTTTTTTTTTTTTTTGAGACAGGGTCTCGCTCTGTTGCCAGGTGCCAGGCTGGAGGGCAGTGGCACGATCTTGGCTCACTGCACATCACCTCCTGGGTTCAAGCAATTCTCCTGCCTCAGCCTTCCAAGTAGCTGGGACTACAGGTATGTGCCACTATGCCCAGCTAATTTTTGTATTTTAGTAGAGATGGGGTTTCACCATGTTGGCCAGGATGGTCTTGATCTCTTGACCTAATGATCCGCCCGCCTTGGCCTCCCAAAGTGCTGGGATTACAGGCCTGAACCACCATGTCCCGCCAAGATAAGACAATTTCTAACCTAGAGCAATTTAAAATTTATGAGCCATTAGGAAAATGTAAATAAAAATCATGATGAGATACCACTTCATGCTCACTAGGTTGGCTGAAATCAAAGCGCAGACAAATAAGTGTTGGCAAGGAAGTGGAAAAACTGGAGCCTTCACACACCACTGAAAGGAGTGTAAATGCTGCAGCTGCTGTGGAAAGTAGTATGAAAGTTCCTTAAAAAGTTAGTTACATGGCCAGGTGCCATGTAATCCTAGCACTTTGGGAGGCTGAGGCCAGGAATCATGGAGGTCACAAATTCAAGAGCAGGCTGGCCAATATGGCGAAACCCTGTCTACTAAAAATACAAAAATTAGCTGGACATGGTGGCATGTGCCTGTAATCTCAGCTAGTCGGGAGACTAAGGCAAAGAATTGCTTAAACCCAGGAGGCAGAGGTTGTAGTGAGCCGAGATCGCTTCACTCACTCCAGCAAAAAAAAAAAGTTAGTTACATATAACCCAACAATTCCATTCCTAACTATACACCCAAGAGAACTGAACATACATGTTCACACCAAAATTTGCATACAAATGTCCATAGCAGCATTATCCATAAGGTACAAACCATCTAAATGTCCATCAATAGATCCACAAAATGTGGTATATCCATACAGTGGAATATTATTCAGCAATAAAAAGTAATGAAGCACCGACATATGCTATAAAATGAATAAACCTTGAACTGGGAAATCCATGGAGACAAAGACCATGGGTTGCCTAGAGCAGGGGATCGTGGGAATGGAGGAAAGTGAGAAGTAACTGCTAATGGGTATATGGTTTCTTTTTTGGGGTAATGAAAATGTTCCAAAATTGACTGTGGTAATAGTTGTACAAATCCAAAAACACTAACTTCTATTAAATTGTATATATCAGTCTGAGAGCAGTGGCTCGTATCTGTAATCCTAGTGCTTTGGGAGACCAAGGTGGGAGAATTGTTTGAGGCCAGAAGTTCAAGACTGGCTTAGGCAACACAGTGAGACCCTGTCTCTACAAAAAAATCAAAAATTATCCAGGCATGGTGGCGCATGCCTGCGGTCTTAGCTATTAGAGAGGCTGAAGCAGAAAGATTGCATAAGCCCCAGAGATCAAGGTTGCAGTGAGCTGTGATCACATCTCTGCACTCCAGCCTGGCAACAGAAGGAGACTCCATCTATTAAAAAAAAAAAAAAAAAAAAAAAAAACCAAAATAAATCATATACCTTAAAAGGATGAATTGTTTTGAATGTGACTTATCTCAGTAAAGCAGTTATTTGAAGAATTTAATAAAGAGAAGATCAAACAACTCACTGTAACACAAGGATGAAATAAAACGTTAATGTGGCAATAACTATGAAAAACTGTATAAGCACAGATACTATGACTTTCACATCTGGCAAGGACCTGGAGAAGTAGTTGAAGGCTCCCAGGAAAAAGTAATAAAAGTGCAGCAGGAATTGACTGGCAAAAATGGAGCGAACAAGCTCTTGAGTGGGGTTAACATAAAGACATGGTAATCAATTACTTGTTCTACTTCTTGCACAATTTAAAAAATTGAAAACCTTCATTTTCAGAACTCTGGAGTTTCAATTTGTATCTCCTCCTAAATGAATAAAAGAAAGTACATTTAATTCTCAAAGAACAGCCTTAGCAAATAATAAAATCACAATTCAAATTTAGCAATTCTGGCTAGGATGGTGGTTTATGCCTATAATACCAGCACTTTGGGAGGCTGAGGTAGGCAGATTGTTTAAGCTCAGGAGTTTTAGACCAGTCAGGGCAACATGGTGAAACTCTGTCTCTACTAAAAACAGAAAAATGAGCCAGGCAAGGCTGAGGTGGGAGGATCATCTGAGCCTAGCAAGCGGACACTGCAGTAAACTGAGATCACGCCACTGCACTTCAGCCTGAGTGTCAGAGTGAGGTCCTGTTTCAAAAAACAAAAACAAATTTAGCAATTCAAAACAAGGAATCTGATATAAGAGCTATGTGGGTATAAAGCCTGACATGACACTTCTAAGCTAGGTGACTCTCAATGAGTTATTTAGTTTCTCTAAGTGTCTCTTCCTTTGTTTTCAAAAAAAGATGGTTTCCATATGGTTGTCATAAGGATAAAGATAAATAATAAGATATAATAAAGCAAATAAAGTACACATGAGTTGCAGGAACAGTAAGGCTTACTGCAGCGCATCTGGCCCAGCAGCCCACAGATCCGGATACTGCACACTCCTGGGTGCTCGCACTATTTTTTCTGGCACATAAAACAGTCAGCATCTCTTTGGGTTCCTTCAAACATTCCACTCCTACAAAAGATTAGTGGACAAGAGAGACTACTAAGGGTTTCACTAGGGTGCTTAAATCACATATCTCACAACTACTTCACAATCACTATTGGACAGTGCAACTTTTCAAAGCACTATCTGAATGGCCCACGAGGGCGAGGATGGCAGGTTCCCTCCACCCACTCACAAGGCACTGGGTTGCTAGCTTCTCTGACACAGAGTGCGGTCAAACTCCTTCTGTTTATTAGTAAGAACAGTTCAACTCTACTCTAGCTCCTCCCTCTAAAAGCACATATAAGTAAATGCATCCCATATCCTCCAGCTCAAGACTCAACGGGGAGGCAGATTAACAATCATTTTTTGGTACTCAAAAATGCCTTAACTCAAACCTGCCCAAGTATTTCTCATTAAAAACAAAACAAAGAAAAATCTCAATGCTTTCCCTGGGAGACAATGAAGAATAAAGTATTTTCTCTAAGTAGTACATCAAGACTGCACAGTTACCTGTCAGAGCTACAGACTAAACCAGATGATTTGATATTTATAGCAGTAAAGAAAAATGTGAAAATTCATTTATTTTTTCATTATACCATCAAGTATTTAGTTATGTTAGCTAACAGACTAAACTGTAACTATTAACAAATAAGTCCAAATTGCACTATAAACCGA